AAGACACTATGTTGGAGACAAACTTTACAACTTCTGGGGAGGGAGGAGTGGGAGAGTTGAGGGATGGAAGTGATAGTAGAAGAACAAAGGAAAGGGTAACAACGTTCAACAAAAAATGAACTCATTTCCTTACTCATGTAACTGTAACCCCCCTGTACAGCATCTTTACAATAAAATAAAATTTTAAAAAACCCACTAAGTTAAAAATACAAACTTTCAGCTAAAGATAGCAATCTGAACACCTGTTTTAGCTCCACTCTTTCCCAAAACCTGTGTGTGTGTGTGTGTGTGTGTGCCTGTGCACACACCAATTTGGGGGCTTGAACTCAGAGCCTGACTGTCCCTGAGCTGCTTTTGTTCAAGGTTAGTGCTCTACCATTTGAACCACAGCTTCTCTTCTGGCTTTTTGTTGGTTAATTAGAGATAAGAGTCTCATAGACTTCCCTGCCTGAGCTGGCTTTAAACAGTGACCCTCAGATCTCAGCCCTCTGAGCCACTGGCACCCAGCTTGTATTTCCCATCTTTAATTATACTACTACTACTACTACTCACACACACACACACCCCACAGAATCTACCAACTTGCTTTACTCAACTAAAGCGGTCAATACAGATATCACTTTTTCTCTGTGGTCACTCTTAACATGGTCGCAAGTCACCTATGACCAACCGCACACCAAAAATATTAAATCCCAGAAATCCATAGTTCCTAACTTTTAAGTAACTATATAGCATATTATTCGAATCACTCTATTACTAGTCCTTGTTCTGACTCTCCCACTGTGTCTAACTTATAAATTGCTCTTTGTCATAGATCTGATAAAGAGCTTTTGTGCTTAGGATTAAAATATGGTAGACAAGGAGTGAGAGCTATGTGCTATGCACATCAATAAGTGTAAACAATAAAGCCCATGGCCCTGGGTTCCTGATGTATTTAAACAATTTCACAGGTTTTCTTCCTGTTATTTCCTATGTGCTGTGTAAATGCATCCCACCCCATAACCACCCTCAATCCAGCTGTGAGTGGCCTGCTGCCTTATTCCTGGAAGACTGGGGTTCAGCTCCCTCTTCTATAAACCGCAAGAGGCAACCCTGCAGATCACCAGAGCGTATGGATCCTAAGAATCTCAAGAGAAGCTTCTTAAAAGTAGATGTCAGGCTCAGCTCCATCTCTGGGAGATTCACACACACACACACACACACACACACACACACACACACATGCACACACACCCAAAAGGAACTATAGGAATCTGGATATTAGAGTGTATCCCAGGGGGCCCGTGAAGCTGAGGGTCACTGAACTGGCCCTGGAGAAACCTCGTGCTAGCTGATGCTTCTGATATGGCCTGAAAAAGAATCAGATCCTGTGTCCTATGTCACCAGGCCCTGTGTGGGGCTGGTGAAGGCATGCTTATGGGGACACAGAACTCTCTGCAGCACAAACACATTGTCATTTTCAGAGCTGTCCCCTTGAAGGCTAATGACTATGGTGTTGCAGGGTGTCCTCACCCCTCCCACAGTACCCTCTACCCAGGCATCTTCCTCTCTCTGGCCCAACCTGCTACTGTGGCAGGGGCAGGTCCTGAATGAAGTCAAGGATTTGCTTTTGGCTGGTTTGTTTGCTTGGATTGTTTATTCTCTCCTGAATGAAGGGGTCTCCATTTCTGCTTGGAGCCTCCTGGCCAAGGGCCCTTTTTGGGGAAGAGTATTTGCTAAACCCTTCCAGGCTCCAGGCTCCCAGAGAGGGGGCGATGCCCTGCTGTGTGAGGAGGGGGCCTTTGTAGTGTCGCCTTGCTGTTTGTGGTTCTGGCTCTAAGGGAAGGGTTGCTCCTAATTAAAGGCGTAAATGCTTTAATCCCTGGCCTGGGGGCTTCCCAGGGCGCATTAGCAGTATTAGGAAGGAAATGGATTGTAATCCCTTTAATATAAGCCTGGAGGAACTCGGGGGCTTCTGGTTTGAGAGAAGAATTTCCTCCTGTGATTTAACAATATTAACATGTTGAATTTGCATAGACAGAAAGTTGGGGCCCAGTGCTCTCTCCTTCCAGGCAATAAGGGGTGAAGTGGGAGTCACTCCTGAAGGCTTTGGGGCCTTTTCCAATAACTGTTAAACTCCTAAGGCACAAGGAGGCAAAGCCAAGAAATTGAGGGAGGCATGAGTTTATCCTTCAAGTTTTTACATGTGAGTATTGAAGGAGTAACTATTTTATCAATAAGGAAATGTAGATTTAGAGGTGAATACCCTCACAATGCTGGTTAAGAGTCTTCACTATGTGGTATTATACATTGGTTATTGAATCCTGTTCACACATTTTTATTTTCAGATACTGGGGCTTGACTTTAGGGCCTTGGCACTGTCCCTGAACTTTTTTGCTCAAGGCTCATATTCTACCAGCCTTATACCTTGATCCACAGCTCCACTTGCTGCTCTTTGGTTAAAAGAGTCTCACAGACTTTCCTGCCTGAGCTAGCTTTGAATATCTATCCTCAGATCAGTGGCATGAGCTACAGGAGCCTGGCCACATCTTTTCAAATAACATTTACTTTCCTATAACCATGCTTCTCCATTCATGTTGGTCTTTATACAGCAGTTTATCTTACTCTACACAATATGAACCTGAAACTCGTGTGATTTTGAAACTTGAGGAAATAAAAACAGCCACTGGGGAGTGCTGAAGTGCCAGGATTGTTAGAGCCCCCAAGTTCAAGACCGGGCAATATAACCAGATAGTGTCTCAAAAATCAAAACAGGATTTGCTTTCTGATTTACCTTCTACCTCTTGTAAATATAGGAAAGATCCTGCCTTGTATGCTGCTAGAGCAGAGCCCAAGAACCATCAACAATGTAACCCCAAGAACCATCAACGTAACTGTCTTGTACTTCAGAAATGCCAGAGGTTTGTTGCACCCTGAAGACTTTCCAACTTATTACAATGTAATATTTTATAGCAATCCATTCCATTAATCTGTTGCAGTCTGAGATGGAGCAACCCTGGGCATGCACAACCCAGCACCTCAATCCCTCCTAGATTCTGGGGCTCCTTGAGGTATAGTAATAAACCTAGTCTTCCAAAGTGTCTGGTTGTCCAGTTGTTCCTGAGGATTATTGAGTTTTGTTGTTACTTGTCACTGGAACCAAGAGATTTCTCACACACACACACAAACACACACACACACACACACACACACACACACACCAATGCTAGCAAACGTGGCCCCAAAAGCCTGCTGGCATAGGCAGGGTACCTTCCTACCCTCTGTCCTCCTCTACTGCAGGGCTACACCAAATACCATCCTGAAAAAATGAGACATTGTTCATCCTTCACAGTAGCTTGTGTGTGTGTGTGTGTCCTGGGGCTTGAACTCAGGTCCTAGGCACTGTCCTTGAGTTTTTTTGTTTTCTCAATCACTTGAGCCAGCTCCACTTTGGGCTTTTTTTTGGGGGGGGGTAGTTGGATTTTAGGCAGGAGCCACCAGCACTGGGCTCCTGGTAGCCTTTAACACACTCTCCAACCCACCAGCAATGTCACATGTCTGGAAGGTTCTTCTCTGCCCAGGAGTTGACTTACCCCTTCACTTGGAAGCCCTCAGCTTTCCAACTGTCCTCATTGTTAGAGAAATGAGCTCCCTTCCCAAAGCTTAGTCCACTCCTTCCTCTCTCCACAGCTTAGCATGCCCCCTTCCTAGGCAACCCTAGGCCCATTTAGCAAAGGCAGTAAATAATCAGCCTCCAACCGTCTTTACCTTAGAGTGACCATCAGGACTGGGCAGCTGCAGGGCCCCTTATCTAAAACGTGGGCAGCAGCCATAAATCCTAGTCTGCCATGGTGAAGCCCCTGACCCACACGTCCACACCAGGGTCTCCGCCTCCTAGCCCCTTCTAGCTCCTCCTAGCCTCAGTAGGCTATATAGGTCACCTCAGACAATAGCCAGTACTTCTTCTTCCTTCTCCCTTGTGAGAAAGGGTCTTGCCAGCCCCTTTCCTGTCAATAAACCTGGATGTCTGTGTGGTTCTCTGGCAAAGTCTAATAATCCATCACTCATGGTCACCCTCCCCAGACCTGCCTCTCCCACCTTATCCAGACACCCTGGGGCTCCAATGGCTCACTCCAGACAGCTTGGAACTTCTCTGTGTCATGTTCCTGCTGCTTCCTAATGACTAAATCCTGGAGTATCAACTTCCCAAATACCTGAAAAACCCACTTGCTTCTCTTCAGATCTACTGTCACCTAGCAGATGGTCACAAACACCATGGTCTTCCAGTGACAGTCTTTCTACCTCCTGTGTAACTACTGATGTGCAACATTGCACATAATCGTTGAAATGAGGTCTCACTAACCTTTTGCTTGGGGCTGGCCCCAAACCAAGATCTCTACTTCCCAAGTAGCTAGGATTTCAGTTATGTTCCATTATACCTGGACCTATTTTATCCCTCTCTCCCCCCCTTTTTTTTTGCCAGTCACAGGGCCTGAACTCTGGGCCTAGGAACTCTGTCCCTCAGCTCTTCAGCTCAAGGCTAGTGCTCTACCACTTGAGCCACAATGCCACTTCCAGCTTTTTCTGCTTATATGGTGCTGAGGAATCGGACCCAAGGGCCTCAGGCATGCAAGGCAAGCACTCTACCACTGAGCCACCTTCCCAGCCCTTGTTCCCTATTTTTAATAGCCATTCTACTACATTGAAAAGAGGATAGAATTTTGACACACAGCTTGAGCCAGCCTCTTGGAGAACAGAGGCCCACAGGAGCTATGGTATAAGGTAAATTCACCTGCTCACCTTGGAAGTCAATCACTGTGCATTTTGTTGACTTCCCTCTCTTGGAAAAGCCTGTGCTATGCAGTCCTGGAAAGCACCTGTACTCGTGCTGAGCAAGATTCCCTTGGTCCAGGTGTGCTGAGACACAGTGGCTCCCTCTGGGAGGAGTAAGCCAGGGCAGGGACAGGGGGAACTGACATGCAGGCAGGCTGGCTGGCCACCTACATCACAATGACCAGGTGATGGCAACAGCCTGTATTGTGCAGACAGGGGTCAGAGCTGAGCTGAGAGACAGGGAAGCAGTGTTGCAGTTGCCAATAGAATTCCCAATGCCACGTCCATGGCATCGGCGGCGTCAGAAGTTGGAAGATGAAGAAGATCCTTGTGCCTGGCTAAAAGAAGGGGTAAGTTCTGTTTGTGCGGATATTGGTTCCCAATCCTGGGAGACAAGTAATTGGTGCACACAAAAAAGCAAGGAACACTGGGATCTGCTAACTGGCCACCACTCTGTTGGCTACAGCCTGTTAAACACAGTAAGAGCAGGAAGTATAGTTTCCTGGGAATAAAATGAAATTCCCAACACAAATTTAAAAAAATATTGTTTTTATAAAGGTGATATATAGAGGAGTTACAAGTATGTAAGTCAGATAAAGAGTATGTTTCTTTTTGGACAATGTCACCCCTTCCCTCCGCCTCTCCCAATTTTCCCCTTCCATCCCCATCCATAATGTCTGGTGAGTACCACTGCTGCATCTGTCCCTCCATTTCTGTGCTCCTTCCTATTGCTCTCTTGGCACACATATAAGGGTCCTGTACATATGGTACAGGAAGCTCAGGGATTTACATGTGTCTGGGCAGTGAGGCCTCCCCTAGGACTTCAGGGCAAAGTCTTGCAGTTGTCTTCACCTTGGACACCCCTGCTTCTGCATGAGCATATCTGAATTGCAGACATGAGCCTATACCTCCTCCAGACAGTGTGATCTCTGGCTCAGGGGAGCCTGTTCTATGCACAGCTCAGCATCATGTCAGTGATCTGACATTGCCATCTTGAAATAGGCCACATGGGAATACTTATACCACTGGTCTTGGCAGTTAGAAACTCTGGGTTTGCCAACACCTGTGGTCATTACACACTTACCTACTATTGGCCCTGCTATCTGATTCACCTGTCCAAGGGGTAAACTAATATTTGCGTTCATCCTGCCACCATGCGTTAGGCCCTGTTCACTAGTCATTTGTCTCTGGTGCCTTGGCCTGGATGAAGGTGTAATGTGCAGTGTGGGGACATGGAGAATAAGGGACTCAGAGGACTGTGGTGGCTGTGCATGGCTGGCCCAGCTGAGAGGAGTCCTGCTTCCTCTCTTTGGGCCAACCCATCTGTCTGTGTAGGGCCTTGATCATGGCACATGTGATGTATTGACACAGGACGGAGGCAAGTTTCTGTCCCTTGAGATCAACTCAGAGTCCAGAAGTCCCAGAAAGCAGACTCGGGAGAGGGACAGGCATTTGGGGACTCCTTTGCTCACCATTCTCCAATAAAGTTTTTTGTGTGTGGGTGTGTGCCAGTTCTGAGATGTGAACTCAGGGCCTGGGTATTGACCCTGAGGATTTTTGTTTTTTCTTTTTTTCTTCCTCAAACCACTTGAACCACAGCTCCACTGCTGGCTTTTTGGTCATTAATCAGAGATGAGTCTCATGGACCTTCCTGCCGGGTCTGGCTTTGAACCCCAATCATCAGATCCCAGGTTCCCAAGTAGTTAGGTTTACAGGCATGAGCCACCAATTTAGGCTTTGAATGAGGTTTGGTTTTGTTTTTCTAAGTATTTGTAGTATTCTGGAGATTCATTTGCTTAGTTATCTATCCTGCATCTATTAGATACCTACAGTATTCCAGGGACCCATGCTGGGCTATGGGTACTACAGAGATACCTAAGATAAAGTCCTGATCTGATGTACTTCATTAAATCTTTAACCATACACCTCAATAAATGCTGCTTTGGAGGGATTCAAAATCTGTCAAAGCATGGCTATATTCCAATGGCTCACACCTGCAATCCTAGCTACTTAGAAGGCTGAGATATGAGGATTGAGGTTTGAAGCCACCCCAAGCAGCAAAGTCTGTGAGACTCTAAACTCCAACTAACCACTAAAAGCCAGAAATGGAGCTGTAGTTCAAGTAGTAGAGTGTTAACCTTGAGCTCAGGGTCATCAAGACAGCATCCAGGCTTGAGTTCTAGCCTCACAATTGGCAAACAAGAGCAGCAACAACAACAAAGCAGAGGTGAAATGCTTTAATACTTGGGAAGTAGAGAGTAAATGAATGACAGAAATGGTTGGGGGAATGGCATTTAATCTGAGTCTTGAAGGATGCATAGGAGTTTGCTAATGGGGTGGAGGGAAATTTGAGTTTCCAACAGGAGATAAGAGCCTGTGCCAAGCAAAGGAAATAGCAGAAGCTGAAGCTGCAGCACACAGGCCAGGAGAGGAGGGATGGAGGAGCAAAAGCCAGACCATGGAGGACTCCTAATTCCAGGCCCCAAAGGGGGGCTTTGTCCTGCACAGAATGAGAAGTCATTGAAGGGCTTTAAATGGAAGAATGACAAGTCAGAGCTCTTTCTTTCTTTCTTTCTTTCTTTCTTTCTTTCTTCCTTTTCTTCTCCCTTCCTTCCTTCCTTCCTTCCTTCCATCCTTCCTTCCTTCCTTCCTTCCTTCCAACAGAACTCAAACTTGGTATCTGATGCTTGCTTTCACTTATTGGCTGCTCTACCACTTGAACCAGGCCTCCAATCACACTTTGTGTATTCTCTCTTGTCCTTTAGGTCCATGTAGATCCAGAAATATACCAAAGCTCCTACATGGCAGACTACAAGCCTTTTGGAAAGCAAAAATACTCCAGTGTCACACCACAAGAGGTAAGAAGGCAATCTTCAATTGTCTAGTGAAGTTATCATTATTTTCATGCAGGTATATGCACTTCCTTAAAGAATATATAACTTAGAGCATTGTTTATTTGCTTGTTTGTTTCTTTGTGCTGATACTGGGGCTTGAATTCAAGATATGGTATTCTCATTTGGGATTTCTGCTCAAGACTAGAGTTCTACTACTTGAGTCATGCTTCTAGCCCAACTTTTTTGCTGATTAATTGGAGATAAGTGTTTCATAGACCTTTCTATTTGGGCTAGCTTTGAACTGCCATTCTCAGATCTCAGCTTCCTAAATAATTAGGATTACAAGTGTGAACCACTAGCACCTGATCAGCTTAGAGCTCTGTGTGTGTGTGTACACATGCATGTGTATTAAACATGTTCATCAAACAGAAATCATGCACATAAAAGATTGCAAATAAATCAGGTGCAGGCCTCTAACACCTGTAATCCTAGTTGCTTAGGAGGTTGAGATCTGAAGATTGTGGTTCAAAGGGAAGAAAAACCTGTGAGACTCTTTTTTTCCAATTAACTAGTTAAAACAAAAGTTGGAGCTGTGGCTTAACTGGTAGAGCATCAGCCTTGAGCAAAAAACCTAAGGAACAATGTATAGGACTTAAATTCAAGCCCTAGTACTCTCTCTCTCTCTCTTACACACACACACACACACACACACACACACACACACAAGCTTGTGTATGGCTCTTCACATAAGACACATCCTCAAGTAAAGAGCCAATGTACACCAGGGGTGGCATCCCTAACCATGGGCTTCAACTCAGAGCTTTCTTTTTTTTGGGGGGGGGTCTGGTTGTGGGGCCTGAACTCTGGGCCTGGGCGCTGTCCCTCAGCTCTTCAGCTCAAGGCTAGCACTCTACCACTTGAGCCACAGCGCCACTTCCGGCTTTTTTCTTTTTGTTTATGTGGTGCTGGGGAATCAAACCCAGGGCCTCAGGCATGCAAGGCAAGCGCTCTACCACTGAGCCACCTTCCCAGCCCTCAACTCAGAGCTTTCTTAAGTTCTATGGTCACCACCACTGGAGGTTACTTTTGTAACTGGAATCTTGACAACTCCAGACTTGAAATTTTTTTTGCAAATTTGGTGCTCATAAAATCTTTTCTTGTAGTCATATTGTTTATTTCACTATTAATTATGAACATTTCTCCCTTATTTATGGAGATATACTCTCTTGTAAAATATCTGTTTCTGTGTTTTGTCTATTTTCTCCATTAGTTTGTTCATCTCCTTCTTATTAATTTGCAGGAATTCTTCAAGTATTCTGGATTTATTTCCCTTAATAGTTGTGTGTGTGCATGTGTGTAAGCTGAGATCTAAGGATACGAGCTGGGGCAAAAACGTGTATGAGACTTTTATCTTTTATTAGCCATTAGAAAGCTGAAAGTAGAGCTGTGGTTCAAGTGACAGAGTATCAGTCTTGAGTGAAAAATCTAGGAGACAGTGAACAGTCCCTGAATTTAAGCTCCAATACAAAACATACACACACACACACACACACACACACACACACACACACACACACGCACAGATAGCGATAAAGGCAGATGAGCCACAGGCCCCCAGTGAGAAGCACAAATCTATATGTGCTCCATCATATACCAAATTATTTCTTGTGTCTTTATTTATTTATTATTTATTTTTGTCGGTCGTGGGGCTTGAACTCTGGGCCTGGGCGCTGTCCCTCAGCTCTTCAGCTCAAGGGGAGCACTCTACCACTTGAGCTACAGCGCCACTTCCGGTTTTCTGGTGGTTTATTGGAGATAGGAGTCTCATGGTCTCTCCTGCCCGGGCTGGCTTTGAACTTGGATCCTCAGATCTCAGCCTCCTGAGTAGCTAGGATTACAGGCATGAGCCACCAGCGCCCGGCTTCATGTGTTTTTATAGGGCACATGGGCCATCCATTCCCCACTCCTGGAAGAACACCATCATATAGACTAAAATAATTTGAATATATAAACCAGGTGAAGGAGAAATATATATATATACATATATTTGTGTGTGTATCTATATCTACATATTGATACAGATAGATCTATATCTATATCCATATACACACATAATATTTCTAAAAAGATTTTTAAATGCCCTACTGGTAACAGTGGCTTGTCCCGGAATCAGGAATCAAAGGAGGAAGGAATAGAATACAGACTGGCTTCTTTTTCCAGTGGGATTGGGGCTTGAACTCAGGGCCTCAGCCAAGTGGGCTATCACTTGAGTTGCACCTCCACCCCTAGACAATAGGAATAACCCTTTGATAGGAGTTTAGTTCCCCCTCAGTTGTGTATATTAATATTCAAATAATTTCAACAACAAGGACATGTGCTCTCTCTTAGATGTGTCCACGGGAAGGCTCCCCCCACCTCATCACCTCTCTTTTCTGTGTCATTTGTTTTCACAGCAGGCAAAGCTTGACACCCAACTCCGGAACAAGGAATTTTATAGACCTTCCCCCCAAATCAACCCAAGGCTGCAGGATGGGTACCCTGCCTTCAGAAGACCCTACATGACTGCCAAGGACCTGGGACTGCCCGGCTTCTTCCCGCCAAAGGACCGTGGGGCCACAGGGGGAGATGACTGCAATCCTGACAGTATCTGTCCTCTCCAGGGCATGGCATTACCGGCCTTAACCACTCCCAGACAACTTAGCCCAGGGGCTGACCTCCAGTACTACCTGAATCCCAAGTACCAGCCTGGTTCAGAAGAGGACAAAGACCACCTTCTCCTGCGCAGTTCCAGCCCTCATCACTGGACAGGCAAGGTCCCTTTATTGAATCCTTTGGGACCACCGATGGCATATTACCAGTAGAACCATGAGAGCAGCTGGGCAGGGATATCCCAAGGGCCTGTGGCCATCCCATGCTACTGCCCGCCCTTGGGAAGCAGAGGGAAACCGACAATAAACCCAGCAAGATGTTCTCATGACACCGGGACTGTGGGTGTTCGGCCTCATCCTTGCTTTGCCCTGGGGTGCTGCGTCTTCTCCAAAGAAGGAGGGAGGGGTGGGGGGAAGAAGGGAGAGAGGAAGAGAGGGAGGGAGAAAGGGAGAATCCATAGATACAGAAGCAAGCTTGGCATTCTTCCTCTTAAAATACAATTTTATTGTTATTGTTAAGGTATTCCTAAGTCAGGTAATAAGTACCTTCTTTTCCTTTACCCCTTCCCTCTTCCTTCCTTCCTTCCTTCCTTCCTGTTTTTCTCCCTTTCTTTTTCTGGACAATGTATTCTTATAAAGTGACAAATGTCAAGCTAGGTCATTCATACCTGTTAATCCTGGCTACTTGGGAGGCTGAGATCTGAGAATCACAGTTTAAAGCCAGGCAGGAAAGTCTGTGAGACTTATCTCCAATGAACTATAAAAAGTGGGAAGCAGAAATGTGGCTCGAGTGGTAGAGTGCCAATCTTGAGTTTTTTCACTCAAAGGGACAGTGACCAGGCCTTGAGTCTAAGCTCCAGTATTGTCACACATTCACACCCTAAAAATCCTAAACTGGGGCTGGGAAGGTGGCTCAGTGGTAGAGCTCTTGCCTTGCATGCATGAGGCCCTGGGTTCGATTCCCCAGCACCACATAAGCAAAAAGGAAAAAAGCCGGAAGTGGTACTGTGGCTCAAGTGGTAGAGCGCTAGCCTTGAGCTGAAGAGCTGAGGGACAGTGCCCAGGCCCAGAGTTCAGGCCCATGACCGGACCCCCCCCAAAAAAAACAAACAAAACAAAACAAAAATCCTAAACTGGGGAGGTATGTCAGTGGTAGACTCTTGCCTGGAATATGCAAGACTCTGGGTTTGACCCCCAGCAGTGGGTGGGAGGGGAGAGGGGAAAGCATTCCTTTACTCTCCACTATGGATGATAGTATACATACTTTGGTATTATTTCCAATGTGGAATTTTCAAATGTGGAATTATTGTATCCAGGGAAACTAACTTTCAAATTTAGACAGAAACTGATGAAAAAATTTCATTATCCCCCCCCCGCCCCCCACAATACAACATTTTGGTATGGAATTGTAATCCCTTTGTACAACTACTTAATTTTAAAAAATGAATAGCCCCAAAAGGCATTCTGGTTTGTATTTCCAGCCACAGTGAATAGAAAATTCTTTCACTCTGTTTCTATGAATGGGCAAATCTTCAGAACTTTTGCCATGTGTTAGTGGAAAAACGGAATTCCATTGTTGCTTTCATTTGTATGTCCTTGGTGAGCAGTGCACATTGATTTTATTTTGTTCTTTAAAAACAAAAACAAAAACTATCTTGCTTTCAAAAAAATAAAAAAGCAAACCTACAAACCATCTGTGATTTGCCAGATTATACCTGTGGTGGATAAATCCTTACAGTCAGCAAGCGGCCCTTGTCCTGCTTTGTAAATGGGGGGGGGGTCACAGCATCCCGAGGTTGGGGAGTGAGGGGAGTGATTTCTGTGAATGTAAATGACCCAAGACAAAACTTGGTATGCAGCTGCCCCCCACTCCCCCCCACCAGAAACCTTTGCCATTGAAATTCACCCAGAAGCTCACCTGCTGGCTGCCCAGCAGGCCTTGGCCCAGGGAGGAGCCAAGCCACCCCAGGTGGGATTGGCAATTACCTATCCTCCTCTTCACCCCCCACCCATTTCACTTCCCAAGGGTCTCTCTGAGCTACACTTTCAACATCCCTGGTCTCCACACACAGTCCTCCTGCATCTCTCTCACAAACCTACTTGTTCCCTCCCAACTGCACCTGTTGCTGACTTGTCTTTCCTCCATTACAAAGTCCCTGCCAGGGAAACCAGAGTTCTAGGCCTTTCTTCGGTGTCTGTCGTCCCCACGTGGCTGGTCTGAACCTACCTTCTTGAGCCAGGTATTTGCACCAACAAAGCCTGGCGCCACTCCCGACTGGGCAGACTGCCAGATTCCTCATCCCAGCCTAGAAAATGGACACAGCATCTTTTTATCTCTCCAGACCCTTGGGCAAGGCTGTGTCCTGGCTCCTAGAGATGTTAAAGGAATGGAGGGGACTCACACTTAGCTACTGTGTTGCCTGGCAGGCTAAGGTCAAAGTCCGGGGAGGAATGCTTCCAGCCCCATGTAGCCCCCGCATCTAACAAGGCCCTTCCTTCCCTATAGTTCTTGAATCCTTTAATAATAAGTAACTGTGGTCTTCATTGAAACAAATGCCAGCTTCCACTCTTAACATGCATATTCAAACAACTCCATTTTCGCAGACTCGTGTGTGTGTGTGTGCGCGCGCGCGCGCGCACGCACGCGCATGTGCAAGTATTAGGGCTTGAATTCAGGGCCTGAGCATTGCCCTGTACCATTTGAGCCACACCTCCACGTCCAACTTTTTGCTGGTTAATTTTGGAGATGAGAGCTTCATGGACTTTCCTACCCCATAATGTTTAGGTCTCAACCTCTTGAGTAGCTTAGAATTACAGATGTGAGGGCTGGGAAGGTGGCTCAGTGGTAGA